CCGCAGGTCGTAAATGGAGAGTCCGTGGGTCCGCGGACCTGTGGGCAGCTATTGGGCTGGACCCTGGGGCTGACACCCGGGACCCCTTTCGGACTGGGCCCCTTTACTCCGGGGACCCGGGTGGGGCCGCAGTCAGTGGAACAATTCTCTCTTCTTATTAGCAAACCCAAGAAACAAAGAAGCAGACTCTTCTGGGGAGAGCGCGACAAGAAAGGCTCAAGATATCCCTTCCAGCGCAGTTGAAAAATAATAGCTTAATATTAACTGCTTCTCATAAAAATATACTTTCGCAGAGATACAGTTACAAGAAGAAAACCCTCATTTTGCCCCCGTACTTTGAGCTCATCGCTGTTAGCTGCCTCAGTAATTTAATTGGAATGAAACGTGAGAAATGTGTCATTTTTGAAGAATTTATGCATCACTTCCTAGAAATCTCATTGTGTTAACTAGGAGCCTACTGCGTTCTGTTTAGAACCCATAATCACATTTTTATGTGTCTGTACTACGAATTAATGTGACCTCCTGTTTTTAGCAGATAAAAAAATGTTCTCTCTCCACAACATCTGTATCAAACTCCGGCTTGCACAAAGCACAAGGAACCCCTGTTTCCCCAATGTTTTCCAAACTTACCAACTTTCTTCTGAGCAGGGACAAGATATGTGAGTAGAAAAAGTGCCTACCAAATGAATAATTACACAGCAAATTAAAACCCTGCATTAAACATAGTCGACACCAAATACTGCATTCTCAATCATGTTTATTGCTTACAAATTGCATTACAAAGAAATCTACTCTTTTTATTGGAGTGATTAAGCAGAATGTTAGGACTGCAGAAATACCATTCTGGAAGATTAGATGAAGGCTGAAACCCCAGCTAGTTACATTGCAATACTGAATGTATAATTTTGTTAAAGAACACGTTTAACACACAAATGAGGATAGGCTGTCATTATGGCATCATAAAAGAGTCAATTTAAAATTGTATTTATTTATAAACACATTGCCTATAAAACGCGCATATTTAATACAAAGGAAGTAGGCAGTTCCATAATCAATATTTTAATTACGGATTTTTTTTATTATAGCAGCACAATTCTGTATGATACGTCACGATTCTATAGTTTCCTTGTACTCTCCTCATCTTTATCATGTGAGCTATAATCTTGTTTTCTTTTTTAATCCTGGGAAGAGCAGGTTGATGGGCAGAGTAAGACCGTTTGCTTATGGCGCCACCTGCAGGACTCCATGAAAATAAGTTTCAATACTGGCAATCCTCCCGCTGGGCTCTTAGGAATTTTTACCTCAGGCTTATTTTAGCAATTTAATGAGATGAATTTTTGCTTTAAAATGGAAAGATGCTGGCAATTTCAAGACAAGCCCTGGAGTTTGAAAGGCGTACTGAAATCCCAAAACAAGACGCTGTATTGATCCTAGTTGAAACTCTGAATATCCCAAGTGCACACAGAAAATTTGACTAAGGAACCATTTATTCTTGAAATAATAGAATAAAAGATGCAATATTCCTGGTTTATCACTTGGTCCTTGGGCAGCCCTTAAGAGATGAAAAGCACTTGGCAAGCTAATAACACCTGCAATTGCAGTGCTGAAGCTCCCTCTCAGATGCCCGCACCAGGACCAGTCACTGGAGCGGACCAGCTCATTCTCCAAGCCCGTATTTTATGCCATTTCTGTAGAGGGTTAAGTGTTCTTTGCAAAAGTTCAACAGCCTTCCCCCTCAACATGAAAACGTAAGGATTCTTTTGGAGACTGAGGACGTGATGAGTGCACAGCGTTACTAGGATTAGCAAATGCTTCTCAAAGAGACAGTGGTTTTTGAATTTCTTCAAAACATGTTGAATTGATGATTATTATGTAACTTAAAATTAAATGGATTTTTAAAGTACACTACAAGAGAGGCCCAATGCTGTATTCAGAATTTTAAACATGACGGCTCACATGGTGCTAATCTGTGCACTGCCTACCTGGGGGCTGCGGGTTGTGTCTGTCTGGCTGTGCTGTGGACACCCCATCCTGCCCAGGGTAAGGTCAGGACAGAAGAGGGTGAACCTCCTCAGGACCATTGTTGGCAGGGAACCTCACCTGTGCATTTTTGAACTCTCTGCGCTCTGATGACAAGTTGTACAGTCAAAGATACTCAGTACAGTTGGAGGGAAAATAGTCCTCTGCTGTCTTTTGTTCTTCTCAGTAGAAACAGCATCTGCTCTTTTATTACCTTCTGAAGTTTGGACCATGTGAATGCATCATTAAACACCACATTTAAAATTAAAGAAAGTTTAGGTCTTAGGGAATTGAGTTTATGTAATGTACTCAAAGAGAACAGTAATGATGTTCAATAGGAGCTGCTGAAGAATGGAGAACATTTGTACCCTTTAATAAAAGAAATACCAGGGTATATGTAGTTCACTGGAAAAAATAGTCAGCCAGAATAATTCTAGCTTCAAAGTAGAATGCGGTGTTGGATGTTTTTCTCAACCAACTCACTTCTCTCCCTCCCTCCCCTGCCCCTTCTCCTCTTTCTCTTTCTTATCTACGTGGAACCATGCAAGTCCCCTTCATTTTAGAACTTCCTAACACATGGAGCAGAGCTAGACACAGTCATTAATGCCATAATTTTTTCACAGTTATTTTATTTTTTGCTTATCAAAGCAAATTGCTAGTTGTAATTAGATTCTGAAAACCTATGAATTAATTCCATCCCATGTAAAGATGAAGATAATGCCAAACCACCGTACTAACTCCAAGCCATTTTTGTCCTGTACTGTCACGGCCAGAAATCAGGGACAGTATTTAGTGCATCCAGAGCTACCAGAATGCAGGTGATTCAGAACCAACTTCCAGTGCCAGTTTATTTTCTGCTTATTCTGTGCAGCCATGAAGTGATGTCATGCTCCTGATGAGCTGGGGGCAGGGCAAGGACGCCTGACGTCTTTGGGCGTCCAGTTCATTGCTCTGTTTCTGCTGCACATGAATCCATGTTGACCAAGAGCACCAGACTGGAGGTGCAGGACGCGTGGCATTTGGTATTGGCTGGTGGGAGACTGCTGAGTGGGCGCTCACTAGGGAAGCCACAGGGCTGCCTGTAGGGCACAGGATGAGAGTGACGATGAGGGAAGCTGCAAAGTACCCAAACCATCACCTGCATTGGGAACGGGCAGCCCTCATTTGATGCAGAGATGAAGGCAGAGAGTAAGTGGCCAAGAAGGGAGCCCTTTCTCTCCACACCTCCCCTGATGCGCCCACGTCTCTCCCGCAGCCTTGTTGACAAGTTGGCCTTCTCGGCTTGGCCGTGAACTCCACTAGCAGTCTGTCTCCTTGGTGGTGGGTCCTCATCCCAAACCCTGGGCTCCGTCCCCAGCAGACTCAGGCAGGATTGATGAAAGGAATGAACAAATGACCGAATGGATGACTGAATGGTTTATACCCAAAGAACTTTGTGGATTAGCTCTTTCTGGGAGAATCTGAATTTGAAAAGAAAATTCTAAGGGGTGAAAATAACAGAAAAGAATTCTCCCCTGGTGGCAGGATCTCAGTGGCTATGGGGAGTGGTCTGGGGCTGACTGTAAGAATCATGTTGTTGTTTTTAAGCTGTAACGTGGGGGAAAACATGTGTTTGAAAATATAATAACTGATCACTATTCATCAGGTTTTTAGAAATATAAAATCAGTGTGTTTAAAAAGAGTTCTCTTTTGTTCCCAAACTCCAAAACATATTTAAAATGTAAAATGTAGTGCACTGCAGAAATACAACCAAACTTTCCTACGTGGGGGTGGGATGGAGAGGGGAGGTTGAAGAAAGGCTGGGGCTGCCAAGCAAGTTTGCTCAGATGCTCATTTGCAAACCCCTGCGAGGACAGGCCTTGTCTGGGGCTGCCTGGCTGTATCTCTTACTGTATTTGCCTTTCTCATTTGTTCTCATAAAATAACGTTGCTTTGCGTTCCCATTTTTACAGTCTTTATTTCAACATTAGGCTATTTTCTTCTAATAATAATAAAACAATCATAATGATAGGAGGAAGCATTTACTGCGTTCCATCCCTGGGCTGCCTCTGGGCCTGGGGCTTTGCACACTCTGCACCCAGTACGGCCAGCCAGGGGCAGGGGTGTCACCCAAGCTCATTAGCAACGGTAAAGTTTGCAGAGCCACGGAATCCGGGGCCCCACCCCAGATGCCAGTGTCAGATGTGCCTTTCACAAGACCTCTTCAGAGTGGAGAGGCCTGCTGCTTTCCGAGACTTATTTCACTGAACCCCAGCCAGTGAGAGAGGGTCACGTGCTTTCACTGCCCAGCTGAGCAAACTGTCAGGTGACTGTTCTTCTTGCTCAGTGGGGCAGCCTGGATCTGAAGCCGCGCCTCCAGGGTGTTACCCTGGGCTCCTACCCACGCTCCAAAATGCATCCCTTTCCAGGACGAAGTAATCTTCCCAGAGTCTCACTGGGACCGCATCTGATCACCTGCTCTGTGGCTCCTTGCAGCCTGTCTGATTCAGTTCAGAATCCTTCATCTGGAAGCCAAGGCCCCCGGGCTGCCTCCCACCTCCTCCAGCCCTGCCTCCTTCCAGTTGCCAAAGCACGGGGACCCTCCCCTCCAGGAGGACGCATCACTGTTCCTCCATCGTGCCGTGCCCTTCCCTGCAGCCCTGCCCTTCCCTGCAGCCCTGCCTTTGTTCAACTTTTCCTTTGGATACAGTGGTGGCTCCTGAATGCAGGTGGGGCTGGGAAAGCGCCCTCTGCCGGGCTGGGTGTGTGTGGGGTCGTGAACCATGTTTACACAGGTCAGGCAAGTTGTCCAGTCTCAGAGGGCAGGATGGGGTGGGCCGGCTGGAGGCTCTGGGGGAGGCTGTCCTGTCTCTCCCTCGGCCTAACCACTGTGTTGCAACCTGACCACATCGCCCTTAAGGGGTGGCCCTGTCAGGCCCCCCTTCACCCCCGTGCTGGGCTATGCTCACAGTGCACACAACATCCCCCCTTAGACTGCAGTTGTCTGCTGGGTGTGAACCCTGCTCCAGACTGTGACCGTGGGACGGGGGGCCGCCGGGCCTGAGGCTGGTCCTTGCGCTGGCTCAAACTGGAAACAGCGGAGCCATTCGGATGATGGCCATTAAGAGTCCTTGTTTTAAAAACAGCATTTAACCGAAAATTTGAGATCTAGAAAGGCCAACAGAGTAGGAGACAGTCACCAATGAAGACAGAGTTTATTACCCACCATCCCCAGGAAAGGGGCACGCCACCTGGGGCAGCACCAGGGATAGTCCGGGGGAGGGGGAGCGGCTGGGGGCAGGAGCCTCAGCTGTGGCTTCCCTGGAAGGAATGGGCGAGGCAGCGCCTGCGGGCTTAGGCCTGGCACGGCTGGGCTCCGAGTAGAGGGGCTGCCCCAGGCGTCTGGCACCGGCCCCGGGGGATGCGGCTGGAGCTCCGGGGAGGTGCTGGGGTGTGAGCTCGGGACTGGTTCAGGAGTATTTGGGGGCAAGTTGATTCCTGTCTCTAGGAATTGGTTCATCCTGGGAGGGGCCATCCCTCCAGGGTCTGAAAGGCCCCAGATGTCAAAACACCCGAACACAGAAAAGAAAGGTCATGGTCAGCACAGCCCAAGGCTGTCAGAACCACCTCCTCTGTGAACGCTTGGGCTCAGCTGTCACCCTGTGTGCGTTCCCAGCGTCTGGCTCCCTGGGCTGTTCCTCACGGCTGGACCGCGTGGCTGGGGAGGACGTGGAACAGAAGACGCACGTGGGATCAGCACGTCCGGCTCACCGCCCCTCCAAGGTCCTCCGAGGGCGCTCCGACTGTGGTGGGCTTGGGAGCGGCAGTGGGCTCCGGGGAAGGGGCCCCCGTTACGGGAGTGGGCGTCCTCTCTCCGTATGTACGTCCGTATGTATGTTTTGGGGACAGAGTCTTCCTGGAGGGCTGGGCTCTAGGCGGGGTGGGATGGTTCCCATGAGGCAGAGGGTCTGAAGCGGGGTGCATGAATGCTGCGAATCTGCTGTGGGCCGGAGACAGGCCTCAGAAAAACAGATGTGCCTTCTAGTTCAACTTCTGTTGAAAGCGCCTCCTGATACGAGTCCCATGGTCCTCAGTTTCAGTCCCCACAAGCAGCCCTGAGAGGCGGAGAGGGCGTTCATCACCCACCCGGTTCCCAGGGGAGCCTGACGCTGGGCGAGGAGTCTGTGCCCTGGGCTGGGGCTGGGGTGGGCAGTCCCATCTGGGCCCCTCCTGACCTGCCACCCAGCCTCCACGGACGAGCACAAGCATCTTGGTCCAAGTGCCGTGAGTTTCAGTGCAAAACACCCTCTGGCTCGAGAAGGAGGTAATTTTGCAGAGACTTCGGCAAGGACAACAGGGGCACAAGGTCAAAGCACTTTCGGCCAAACGTTTTCCGGATGGCACAGCGGCAGAGATGCTGCAGGCAGCGCGGGGTGTGGGCCAAGGCGAAGAGGGACCGGTAGAAGGGCTGGTGCATCTGAAAGGAAGGCAGGGGAGCATCAGTCTGGGTACCTGGAGCCCTCAAGCCTTTTTCCCCAGACAGAAGACCACACAGGTGGTCCTTTCCTGGCTACTGCTATGGAGTAACCCATGAAAGGCATCCTCCCAACCTCCCCAAGAGGGTCTGTGTCCTTTGTTTTGGGAGATTTCAGACAACACGGGCCACCTCCTGGAATTCCGCTCTGTCCAGCCCCTCTGCAGAGCACAGCAGGTGTGTTCAGTGATCCGCCCGGGGCACAAGTCACTGAGAGCACGAGGGGACATTTTCTAGAGGCTTCTAGACAAAGATGTTCTCTCTCTTAATCGACAGTCACCTGCGGACCTTGCTGTGTGCGGATGCCGTGCCCACAGCTGCCTCGGGCATGTCTTTAGCCGTCAGAAGATGAAGCCGATACATAGGAGCCAGACCCTCTGCGGTCCATCCGCCTCTGGACACTGGCTACTGACGCACTGATACTCTTAAGCCAGCGTGGTCCTTGCAGCCCGCAGGACCCCAACCAGCACAAAGGCTGTGTGATTACTGAGCCTCCAGAAGAAAACCACAAACACTCAAGTGCTCCCAGTTTCCACTTTCTCTTACCTTCTCCAGATGTTTTATACTCACCTGGGTATTAGTGCAAAACTGCACACACAGGTGAACAGACACAGGCCACACTCCTGTACTAATGGGGGAAGGGAGGGCAGCTTCCTCACCTGCAACACATCTTCAGGAATCAGCTCCTTCCAGGACTCCGACAGCGGAGCTGAGCGTAGGAGTTGAAAAGGACTTCGATGACCGTGGGGGCTGGCGCGCAGGTCTTCAGCACCTGGTTGGGAACGGTGGGAGACACAGTTCGGGTGGACTGGGTTTGGTGTCCAAGTGGGAAAGGGTAGGGAGATAGGAGGGGGTGCTTGGATCCCACTTCTGTGGCTCCCTGGTGTGTGTCCTCACTGTCCTCACTCACGCAGGGAATGACAGCGATCCCATCTACAGTGCAATAGGGCCTTCGAAGGGCCACAGGGCTCAGGGCAGGGACGCACAGGGCAGCGCTCCGCAAGGGGCTGTCTCACCATCGTGAGAAGCGGGAGCCAAGCGCTGTGCATTCAGAACCCAGGAGGGGGATGCTGATGGCTGGGCTGGTGCTCTTGGCCCTGGAGAGCTGCTCAGAGGGGAATGAGCTCTGCTGGGAGGAAGTCTGGACCAAGGGCGGTGTCCCCAATGTCTTACTTCAATTTTCTAACATCAGGACATTGGGGGAGAAGAACTGCTTTGCTGCTGGATTTCTTCTCAGCTTGGCCTTTTCATTTTACTTTCACAGTCCTCACTGGCAAAGGACGTGTTTCCTAATCTGCAAATTCTACAATTCAAGTCCATCAGCTTCATCATAAAGATGGAAACAGTATTTGCTTTTTAAAAATAAACTTTTTTTTGTTATAGAGAAGTGTGAACGCACACAGAAGTAGACTGAATAGTATGAGGCACCCTCGTGTACTCAGCATCAACTCGTGGCCAGTCCTGCCCATCTACTGCCCCAGCCCCCTCCCTAATTTATTTGTTTTATTTAAAAAAATTTTTTTTGAGGGGGAGGCAATTTATTTGATTGATTTATTTTTAGTGGAGGTACCTGGGATTGGAACCAGGACCTTGGCATGCTGAGTACATGCTCTACCACTTGAGCTATACCCTCCACTCCCAATATTATTTTAAGGCAAATTCAGTGTATCCAATCATTTCATCTGTAAATATCTGTGTCTCTAAAAGGAAGTTTAGAAGCATAAACAGTATCATAGTAACAGCTGAGAAATTAACAAGTTTCTTAGCATCACCTAACATACAGTCAATGTTTAAATTCACAAATTTCTCTTAAATGCTGTTACATTAGAACAACCATTTATTTGTTTGAATAGGAACATCAAATGAGGCCAACACCTTTGCATTGGTTGATATGACTCATTTTCAGATCCTTTTTTTTGTTTCATGTGATTCTTTTTGTTGAAGAAACTGGTTATTTGTCCTGCAGAGCTTCTCACTGTTGGGGTTTTTTGCTACTGTATTCCCATGGAGTTTCTGAACATGCTGCTCTTTCTCTGCCTTCTGTAAATTAGTAGTTGGATTTAGAAGCTTGATCAAATTCAGATTTGATTTTGGGGAGGAGTGGGGCAACTTTGCAGTTCTCTTTGAGGTTTAAGATTTGCTGAGTGTTGTAAAATTGTTCTTCCTCTTTCCTGGTTGAGAAAACTGAGGTTAAGGAAATTTTCTAAGGTCAGGCACCAAATATCTACAGTGGACAAGAGTCAGGGCCAATTGCTAAGCCGGGTCTGCCTCACGCTGACTGGAGCTCCTTGAACACGCTCCATGTGGTTGCTCCCTTTACAACTTGCCTAGCTTCTTCCAGATCTAACACCCCTTTAAGATACAGAAGAGCAAAATAAAAAAAATCATGTTTCTTTGTTCAGAGATAACCACGATCAACATTTTGTACATACTGATGTTTTATGCATTTAGACACAAAAATCATATGTATTACAAAAATGGGCTAATGCCTCGCATATTATTGAAAGTTGATTTTTTATCATTCAGAATAGACTGTGAACAATTCAAAAACTATAAATGAGCAGTTTAACATCATTTTTTAGTGGCCATATAATATTGCATGAATATATTCAATGTATAAGTGGCCTTAATATGTTTTGATACTATAAACAGTGAATATCTCTGAACACAATTCTCTCTCTTTTTGCGTCCAACCATCCTTATTTCAATTGCTTATATTGAATTGCTGAATAGAACTGCAGGGTCAAAGAGTGTGTACATTTTAAAGCTTTTAAAACATACTGTCAAACTGTAAGTGTGTAAGTTGTTACACTTTTTAAAGAACTGAGTATGGAAGGGCCTCTTTCTTCCTACACAGACCATCTTGTTAATTACTTAAATTTGATAGGTACAATATGGAATATTTACTTATGGTTGACCATTTGTCTTTCTTCTTTTGTGAATTGCTAAATTATGCCTTTTGCTCATTTTTTCTATAGTGTGTTCAGTTTTTTACATTGATGTATAAGCAAACTTTACTTATTAAGCTTATTTTTCAGGTAGACAATCATTTTTACAAATAATGGTATTTTCTTCTCAGTATTACTATTTCTTATTTATTTTTCTTGTCCTATTACTTTGGCTAGAGCTTTAAAATTCAATGTTAAATAACAATATTGATAGCAAGGATCATCATCTTAGTCCTAATTTTAATAGGATTGTCTCAATTATTTCTCCATAATCTTGGATATTGGTTTCACATAAATACTGTGTTTTAGGTTAAGGAAATATCTTTCTATTCTGAGGTTACTACAAATTTTAGGATTTAATTTTTTTGCCTTTTTCTGCCTAAGTTGATACAAAAAGATTTTCCAATACTGATCCATTTTGCCTCATAAAAGAGACTCTGGCTATTCTTCTAAATAAGATGACAGATTCAATTTGCTAAGATTTTTGTGTCTCTTTTAATAACTAAATATGGTTTATAGTTTTAGTGTTTTGAGCTGTTATTTTTTGGTTTTAATATCACTTTATGTTAACTTAGTAACCTATCTTTTTAATACTCTGGAAGATTTTCATAAGTAGATAATTATTGGAAATAAGAAGGGATGATAGATCTTGCATTTGAATCTTTTAAGCCTAGGCTTTAGTTCCAGGTGATAATATTTTCAATTTCTTTCATGGTTACTGGCATATTTTGTTTTGATTTCTTCTTGGCTCAATTTTGTTGACCTATATTTCTTGGAAAACATAACAAAATTTAGCATTGCCTATGTATCAGTCAGGGGTCTATCAGGAAACAGATGGCACACTTGAGATAGGATTATTCCAGGAAGGTTTATTGATGTAGAGTCTAGTTAGCCAGCTGTGAGTACAGGGGAACCATGAGGAAGAGTGCACTGATGTGGAGCTGGTGCAGGGCTATTTCCACCCCTGGGCCTGAAAGGTGAGAGAGTGGGCTGGATTGTTTTATCAGGAGCAGTGATCCTTGGCTGGGGACACACAACCAGCCTGAAGCCAGGTGAATACATTCTCTGACCTCATTCTCTCTTCCTCTCCAGCTTCTGGGCACTGCACTGGTGAAAGGAGCAGTGGGAGCAGAGGGCCAGGAGCCTTGTGGGTGCATCCCTGCAGGTGGAAAACAAACCTGCATGGGAGATATCTCCACTGTATCTAGGAATAAGCACCCTTTCTCATTTGACAATCACTGTGATTATATTTGCAATGCTTCTTCATGTTTAGTCTTGCTGGAATTTTGTCTATTTTAATTTTCTTCTCAAGAAATAAACTACTGGGTTTCATTGATCAGTTCTCTTTAAAAATATTCCAACCTATTAATTTTGCATTTATTGCTATTAATCCCTTTCTCTGTTTCTCTTTCCAGCTCCTTGGATTGACTGCTCAAGTTAACTTGGCAAAATGTTTTTCCTTGAATCACAATAAAAGCAACTTTTAAAGTGATGTAGGTCTTCCATTAAACAAAAGTGTGGTTAAAGCCGTAGTTCTGAGGCAAATGTTGTCATTTTCTTTCTTAAATAGTCAACAATTAAACAATATTCATTTGGAAGCATGCTATGAAATCTTCAAAAAGTTAAATTATTTTTAGAAATTAACTCTTGCTATTAATTTTGTGGTGTACTGTGCTGTAGCTTTAGGTAATGTATGATTTGGGAGCGCTAGAAGTTGTATTCTGTTTGCATGGTTCTAAGTCCAACATGGATCTGTCACCTTTATGATTTGAAGCTTCTAAATTTTTCCCACTTAATCTGTGGGAAAGACTTAGATATGAATCAAAAATCATCTGGAATTATTCTTTTTCAGTTAGTTTCTTCATTTAACATAATTTTTTTTGGCATGTAAATTTCTTAATGGTTATCTCTTCACTATGGACTGTATCCTTTGTCAATGTCACATGAGTCTCTTCTTCCACTCATTTTGTGTATTTCCCTGGAATTTTTCTATGTTGCACATTAATATCAATACACCATTTTATTTTTAGTTTGTTTTTACTAGAATTCCCTATGCCCACTCTTTAATTTTAACCTTTTGTTTCACATTGGTTTGAAGTGAAAGTCTCTGTATTGGTAATAGGGTAACTTAAGACATTCATATTTATTGTTATAAATAATTCATCATGTCTTACTTCTATCTCAGTTTATTCTTTATGACTTTTTATGCCTTTTGTTTCCTTGTTGTCTGATTTCTGTTATACAGGTTTACAGTTTCTTTGTATTTACCTTTTATATTTTGGAAGTCTGTATCTCATTTAAAATTTTACTACTGGTTACCTTCAAAATAAAAAAAATTAACTGATATTTCTCTAAACATCAAAATAGTATCTTTTGTGTTCTAGATATACCATTATCCTTTCTCTCACATCTCTCTCAATTTTTCTCCTTCCTTAATAATATCTGAAGTTGGGTTCCAGACTATAATTGGTACAAGATCGTATTTTATGTTATTTATCTCCTTCGTGAATAATTTTTGGTAGTTGCATTTAGTTTTATAACCTGCCTTGCACTTATTTGTCTCTATTTTAACTGGATCATTTAAGCCATTCATTCCACAGATATTTATCAAGTTCCTACTGGAAGCCAGGGCTTGTGTTATCTCTGTGTGATACAAAGGCAAGCCCTGGCTTCACAGAATTTTACAGTCCCAAACAATATCATCTCAAATAATAATGATAATGTTAATGATAATAATATAGGTGCCACAGTACTCTGGTGGGGGAATCACAAGATGCTTGAAATGGTACCTAATTCAAACCTAGATTTGCGGTGGTGAGTTGGT